TTTGCTGGTTGTTTATTCCAAAGGTTACCACCCTTCATTTTGTAGTTAATAACTTATGCTGAGGATTGCTGGGGAAAGGATGGAAACATATGAGCCATTGTCCTACATTTTGCTGGTTGTTTATTCCAAAGGCTACCCCCCTTCATTTTGTAGTTGTCTTATGTTGCTTCACGTTTCCTTTCTGAGGTTTGACTTGGCTTCACAGCGAGCTTTGGACTCAGCGCTGAAACTGGTTTCGTGGGCGAGCTTCATTCCGGCTGATGTATTGGAGGAGTCATACCGCAAAGCGTGCGCCAGCTCTAGCTTTGATGGCCAGGAGTTTGCTGCCGTGCCTGAGGAGGAGTGGGAGTTGAATGCAGACGCAGACTTGCGAGGTTCAGAGCCTGTGGAAGAGCGGGTCAATGCTTTTGTGGAGCACATCCGGAAAGACCAAATGCCGATGGAGGAAACCGGTCTGGACGGTGAGGTCCAAGTTGAACCAGATGATCGCCAAGATCTGAATGGTGCGCCCGACCAGGACAAGCTTCTTTTGCTGTGCGCTTGCCAAGCAGGTCCCATGCAGCCGTTTTCATCACCTGTCAAGAGCCCTTCCAAAGTACAAGAGCTTTCGCTGGAGGCAGAAGCATCGTTGCCTCACACACTGAGCCAAGCTTTGCGCCTTATCGTTCTTGAATACCGCTTTCTGAGTTTATGTTCATATATGTCACGAAAGCCAGCCGATAGGCAAGGCTTGAGTTCTTAGGGTGAACGAAGTGAATAAAGGGGGTGTGGGGGGGGTGGTGTCAAATCGACTGATTTGGGAGGGCGAACCTAGAGCCTGGTGGGGGAGAGCGAAGAAAAGTAGGGTCAGGAGGGCGTCAAAAAAACGCCAAAAAAGCGGCTTGGTGATGCAAGTGATGCAAATGACGCCGAGCAGTGCATCATTAGCATCATGAAGGGGTCTGGAGACCATTTTCTTTGCTTTCTGGAGCATCATTAGCAGAAAGGTCAGGTAGAATGTCAGAAGGTTTGCTAGAGAGAATGTCAGAAGATTTGCCAGAAAATGTGCGCAACTTTCGCAAGGGTTCACCTCATCATGTAGAGATGTGGAATATGTCTAGATTTTTAGCAAAAAAACATGCATAGCGATACCGCTTTCCCATTGGCCCTTTCTACAGTGTTTCGATACTTGGCCAAGGTTTCTCTGTCACAGGCCATTGGCACATTGCCGTTTTTCTCACTTTATACACCAGCCATGGCAAGGGAGAGTATAGGGGAGTTGGCGCGCCATTTTTGAGTCAACCCGGCTGCCTGGTTTGCGGGGTTCGAAACACTAGCCTTTCGAACCCCACAAACCCCTTGCCATGCGGCCAGCATGCAGCATGGCGTCCAGCCGGGCAAGCCCACACCGGGCGATTGTTATGTATAGATCCAAGTTGAGAGTCAACCCGCCTGCCTGGTTTGTGGGGTTCGAAGCACTAGCCTTTTGAACCCCACAAACCCCTTGCCATGCGGCCAGCATGCATGCGTCCAGCCGGGTAAGCCCACACCGGGCGATTGTTACGCATAGATCCAAGTTGAGAGATGCAGGTGATGTTGACAGACTACCCACTTCTAGACCCTTGTTAGGCAGGAAAACACGATGCAAACTGCATGTCGCATGTCGCATGGAAGGTGAAGTTTCGGAGCAGGTCTTTTGAGTGGGCAACCTGGCGACCTCCACTTCTGACCATATCCTCAACTAGCAAGCATGTGTTACTGAGATGGTTTCTTCTTTTGACCCTCTCGTCTGGCGGCTGCTGGCTTTCGTTCCCCCCCTTCTCAGGTTCATGATGTTTGTTGAAAGTTAACCGTTTTAGGTTTCAACAAGTTTCAACATGTTGACAGATTTTGGTAGCATGTTGGCAGGGAGAAGTCTGGGAACCGTTGGTCCCGATTGTGGCAGCTGATCCTCCACTTGCGATCATCGGACGGTGGATGTGACAAACCTTTTGTGCAGAATGCCCTGAATTGCCGAAAGGGGTCCAAGAAGCTCAATTGGCATCAGTACAATGAGCGTGTGCTTGCGCAGGTTGCAAACGAGCTAGATGCCAGCTACTTTCGCGGGCGGGCTGGCAGGCTGCAAAGGTGGATGGAGCTTGCTCAGGAAGCGCAGAAAGAGCTTGAGATTGAAGCCCCCTTCCCGGAGAAGCTCACGTGCTCCGAGTTTATGACCGTGTATCATTTTAGTTTTTTCAGTGATTGCTTATTGTGGTATGGTTTCTTCATGTTTCTTCTACACCTACACGCCTACAAAATGCATATGTTCAACATTTTGGGGTGGTGTGTCCCTTTTTGTAGGGTCTTTAGGCATGGATAGATTCATGATATTTCAATATTTCATAATTATGAATGTAATTGTCTCTACAAAATGGTGGTGTGGGAGGCTTG